GTGCAAGTGTAGACACTGCTGGTTCTAATTCATTCGTATAGTTGCACGGTTAGGGATACACATGTGCTAGACGACTTTTGGACTTTATTAGATATATGAAAACAATTAAAAATGATTGAGTTATGAGGCTAGAGCACTTCTCCGTCAATATTTTGACACTTGTGCCCGTTACTTTGGATTTTCCTAATCCTCTTAGGCTTTAAGATTTAGGCCAGTCTGTATGATGCACTTCAACTCATAATTATGCTCTGTTGTGTCTAATTCCCTATTTATATTAAAATATGCTATTCACATATGTAGCTTTGGTTAAATCTATGATATATATATAATATTGATACACACTTTATATATGCTATAGGACTAACCATTCCTTCCGTGTACAGGGACTTGTAAAGTCTACAGGTACATTGTAAAGTCTACAGGTACATTGTAAAGTCTACAGGTAATTGTAAAGTTTACAGGTACATTGTAAAGTCTACAGGTACATTGTAAAGTTTACAGGGACATTGTAAAGTCTACAGGTACTTTGTAAAGTTTACAGGGACATTATAAAGTCTACAGGTACATTGTAAAGTCTACAGGTACTTTGTAAAGTCTACAGGTACAGTGTAAAGTCTACAGGGACATTGTAAAATCTTCAGGTACTTTGTAGTCTACAGGTAATTGTAAAGTTTACAGGTACATTGTAAAGTCTACAGGTACATTGTAAAGTCTACAGGGACATTGTAAAGTCTACAGGGACATTATAAAGTCTACAGGGACATTGGCAAGTCTTCAGGTACATTGTAATGTTTACAAGTACATTGTAAAGTCAACAGGGTCATTTTAAGGTATACAGGGACATTGTAAAGTCTACAGGTACATTGTAACGTCTACAGGGACATGACGGATCTACAGAGACATTGTAAAGTCTACAGGTACAATGTATAGTCTACAGGTACAATGTAAAGCCAACAGGGACATGACAGGTTTGCGGATACATTGTAAAGTCTACAGGTACAATGTAAAGTCTACAGGTACAATGTAAAGTTTACAGGGACATGACAGGTCTGCGGAGACATTGTAAAGTCTACAGGTACATTGTAAAGTCTACAGGGACACGGCATATCTGCGAAGACATTGTAAAGTCTATAATTACATCGCAAATCTACAGGGACATGACAGGTCTGCGGAGACATTGTAAAGTCTACAGGTACATTGTAATGTCTACAGGTGCAATGTAAAGTCTACAGGGACATTGTAAAGTCTACAGGTACATTGTAAAGTTTACAGGTACATTGTAAAGTCTACAGGGACATGAAGGATCTGCAGAGACATTGTAAAGTCTACAGGGACATTGTAAAGTCTACAGGTACATTGTAAAGTCTACAGGGACATGACAGGTCTGCGGAGACATTGTAAAGTCTACAGGTACATTGTAAAGTCTACAGGGACATGACAGGTCTGCGGAGACATTGCAATGTCTACAATTACATGGCAAGTCTACAGGGACAGTGCAAGTGTACGGAGACATTACAAAGTCTACAATTACATTGCAAGTCTACAGGGACAGGGCAAGTCTACGGCGATATTGCAAAGTCTATATTTATATGACAAGTCTTCAGAAGTCAAGCATACTCAACATTTGTCTGTGGATAAAAATATATTTACTATCATTTCATTAACTCTACAGAAGGCCAGAAAAGTACAGATAGAAAAGGTCGTGCTCACAGATCCGTTTACATGCCGTCGATATTGTGTGTTATTGTTTACAGTGATTGACATAAAGAATAAGGATTTACCTCATAGAATCACTGATCTCTCTTTATCTCACTTATGATGTTTATACAAATATAGTTGTTTTCTCGTTGTGTTACACACTGTTTTTATAACAGATACATTCAAACATTGTAACTGCTTGAAATGTGCTGAAATGAATAGTTTTGTGATCAATGTTTGATCGCTGAATCGTTTAGGTCAAGACAAAAAAATGTACAGTACACTATTTGACACACGTAAAAAGTGATGCTTAAAATAACACTTACAGGTTTTATAAATCACCTTCATTAACTCTCAACAAATGATTGACGTTAAAATTCACATGGACGTCAATCCAGGTCTCGGAAATAAATCACCTACGTACATTCAACCAAACCATTGTGTATTGTATTAAAAAGTTATGTATAGACGACTTACGTGTAATTACAGAAAACTTCTGTGTAATGTATAGAAAACTTGTTTGTAATGTATAGACAACATGTGTTTAATGTATAGACAACTTGTGTGTAATGTATAGACAACTTGTGTGTAATGTATAGACAACATGTGTGTAATGTATAGACAACTTGTGTGTAACGGTTAGATAACTTGTGTGTAATTACAGACAAATTATTTTAATGTATAGACAACTTGTGTGTAATATAAAGACAACTTGTGTGTAATGAATAGACAACTTGTGTGTAATATATAGACAACTTGTGTGTAATGTAAAGACAACTTGTGTGTAATGTAAAGATAACTTCTGTGTAATGTTTGGACAACTTGAGTGTAATGTACACAAAATACAAATATCGCCACTTTCAACAGACAATGCATTTTAGGTTTACGTAAAGTGACGAAGGTTCCCGAGCCTTAAACTTGAAATAAGCCTTTTTTCAGTAAGCTTTTGTAAACATGCGTTTTAAACCATTCTTATTTCCTCGTTAATGTTTGGAACATATTTTGTCGGTAAAGATATTCTTTACCCATTTAATGGTAAGAAATCCTCATGCCATGCTGCGGTAAAAGTTCTAGTGACCACCTGTTCAAAGCGACCATTTTATGCAGTTCGTTGTTTTTGATGGTTTTACACTTTGAATTTCAATACATAGTCCCATAAAACACTCACTGTGCCAGTTAATATATTTTTACTATCAGGTTTATGTTTTTTCGCCTTTTAATTTGATGTGCCCTTTTAAGTAATCTTTTTAATTACCAAGAAACCGAACTCCTTCAAGCTTGTTTATATTAAAAGCCTCTGAGATGGAAACATTTAAACTATTGCATATTTAGCCAATGCAACGTCGTAAATTCAAACGACTTGGCTGTGTTATATACTTTTTTCATTTTGATTAATAATTTATTAAATGAACATTAAGGTCAAATGAAAATTTAATCATTACATTTATATGTCTGTTTTCATAATTATTTTCATATGATATATTTAAACACATACATCTATAGAAAAATAAAACAAATTTCTTGTCACAATTTATTTATTAAATAAACAATATTTCACAGAACCAACATGAAAACAACAATAGATAGGGTGACAATAAATTAACTTTCACAAGAGCAGGGTATGTGCGAGACATTATGACAGTACTCAACGACACCGTGGTTCGTGGAGAGTAACGTCAGATTCACTCTATACGAGACATACTATTGAGACACGTTGTAGAATCACACAATTCATTTGATAAAACACCCGACTAAGATTAGGTAAGTTTATAGGATGTCAGTAATAACTGATAAGATTGCTATATATAGTTTTATATAATTTCGACTGCAGAAAAATTATGTAAAAAAGTGTATTTGGATATATGAATATTGAACTTCGAAATTCAATATTTTCTGGTATTAAGGAGTCACATGTTACCGATAATTGAGAATATAAAGTGTCGTTATTGTGTTAGTCCTACTGTTTGTCTACAATGTATCGTAAACCAATGACAGTGAATCTGAACTGTGATAAAGATATTCTGACCTACGTGAGCTAGAAAAGTCTCCTAAACACTATGACATCTGTAGATACTTACTGTTGTGATATGTACCGGTAAGGACTACCTAAGTGTATATACGTAAGTACAAACATTGTAACAGAATGTTAACACTGATGAAAAGTACATAAAAACGTTAGTTGTCTTCATTATTATCGAAGCTCGTGATTCATCGATTTAGGAAACTGCAAAGAAAATCACCGTAACGTCTATTGCTGGTTTCTGCTAATCTTTGAATTCAATTACAGAAACCAGTTAATGATAATTTATTTGTTAGAGAAAATTAGCTGTTTGGACCTCATCATCTATGAAACCTGTGGAAAATCAGCATTTGCCCATTATTTCTGATCGTCGCGATTTTATAGAGTGAAATGACTAAAACTACATACAGATCACACAGCAGTTACATATAACCCTTGTTTACAGAAACCAACATATAAAACACATAAAATGATTTGTGTTGAACGACGAAGACAAAGCTTCTGAAAGACGGTGGTAAAATCAACAATATGATGTCACCATGGTTACGATTGGTAACTCATGGATTGCATCTGAACAACATACACACTCTCGTTCATACGAGCCTAATATGAAGTATTGAACTGAAATGCTCAACGAACAACTGTTTTTTTTTCAAATATTGAAATCGGCATGATTAAATTCTATTCGTTTAACATTGCCATTATCAAACATTGCTAAAAATTGCTTTACGAAAATAACGTTGTTCGAAAATATTAGCAATTTCTCGAATCAGTTTTCCTTCTTTTTCTGTAGCGAAACTATAAATTACTTTCTTACAACCTCTCCCGAAGAAGGCAGCACACATTCTGAAGCACTTTTGGATTTAGTTGTAGTTATGAGTTCCGTTGCCATCCCTTCTCCTCAAGAGCGAGATGAATTGTTGACGATATGTACAATGGTTTATACTTATAAAGTGTTAAGTGTGATGTCCATTTTCATCATTGTATAACATAACACAATATTTCACCGTTATAGCACTAAAGTTTGACGTCCATCACCCCGAGCTAAAGCGCTGATGACACCTCATTTCTTTCGACTGTGTCCGCTATTGTCGGACTTGTTTGTTTTTTTGTTTCATTCTCGACAACAATATGGTCTTCTCCAATATGAAAATTTGCATTGTTACTTTTCGTTCTCTCTGGATTCTTATTTGAATTGCTATCTTTTACAACAACTTCATTCTCTTCTTTCTCTTCGAAAACTGGCTTCGGTTTCTTAAACTCTCCGAAGTCGAAACTTTTATTAGTTACTCCTATATCTGGGAGTGAAACATGGCGTCTCATCTGTAAACAGAAATCGATATACTTAGTTTAAGAGGTCACAAATATTTCAAACAGGATATTTAACATTTTAACTGATAAATATTTTCCTATCACGGTTGTATTTATAAGAATGTACGAATCCTAACTGCGTATATGCGGAAATGCATTCTTTTAACTACTCTTTCTAATACAGCACAGCAGGTAAACTTCACGGTAAAACCTCATCGAGGGTTTCTTTTGAAACAAAATAATTATATTCTAACGAATTAAATTTGTCGAGGTGTATGTAGGAGGACCTCTAAACAGACTCACATGACTAGTGCTCGAACACAAAACATAGATTTTTCTTCTGTGTTAATCTAAATATTTTTCAATGATTTCAATAATTGTTGGGAAAACGTATAGGAGACATGTTATGAACATTTGCAGCTAAATTCAAAGCACACAATGTGGTGGTTTAAATCATAGGCAATTGGTCAAATGACACGTGTGTAATGATGGATATCGGCGGAAGTCGGAACTTACGCTCGAAGACCCCATTCAAATCTCAAATATTTACAATGTTGATGAGATGTCGTTCTAAATTATAATATCCAAATCTCTTCTACACAAAACATGTATTGTTTGTACTGCATTTTGTAAAATACATCAACTCCACTTTTGATGCAATATTTTGTTTAAATAAGATATTTGACTGATTATTTCAGAGTAGACGAAAGAATGAAGAATTTTTTAGGAACCCGACATACATTTCGACAGTTGTCGCGTGCAGCATTATCGACTGCGCAGTCGTCTGCTGGGTTCATTTTACCGCGGTAGGGAACTTTTCTTACTAGAGGTAGAAAAGTGCCAATATAATTAGGCATCATGAGTGGACAAATCGATCGCTTTGTGGAATGAAAAACGAAAATAAGATCAGCACAGGCCAGGTTAGCGTTTAATCATTTCACTGATAAATTTTCGCGTTAATGTCCAGCGAAACAGCGAAAATATCCGGCTACATACCTCGTATTACTACTCTATACTCACAACATAAAGGAAAGATAATTGAAAATTTAAAATGGGTACCAATGATAAGCTGTTCATCCGTATAGCTCTCCCTTGAATCAAACAAGCAGTAGCTGTCATATATTCACTAAGTATAACTGTTCTATGTAAGGTCAATACCATATTTGTATTTCTGGGACGATATTGTGTAGAAAACAAAGTAGGCTACGTCTGATAAGCTGGACTGTTGTCTACTGACCACAGTCCAATTATGTACTTACGTTTTTCTGATACTGATGCATGTTTGTAAATGACGGGATTTTTGATTGGTTCAGTTGTGACGTATCTGTCTGATCATCTCCACACTGGCTGTCGATCATAAAGAATGTGGCGAGACACTTCGGGTTGAAGTAATCAAGAAGCATCATCCCGAGTCCGACTATTGTGGTAAGTACACCTGTAAGAGAACAGATGTTCATGTAAAACACCCACACTTAACACATACATACCAGGGTATAGTCGAAAATATCGTTATTAGTGTCATAATCCTTGGTTTCAGAGACTATTAAATCGTAAGCTCCATTGTTGTCTCTGTGACATCTATATTTGTATTTATGCATTAAAATTTACGAATGACTTGAAATTAATTACATGAAAATATTTCATTTTTAAATAATCATGAATCTAGAACGATTCCATTACAGTTTAAGAGTACGAACATACACGACAAGAAATCAGATTACGGCACTTTCAAATATGAATTTGCATATCAGTGTTTTGAGCTTTAAAACGAAAAAAATATAAAAGTTCGTTAAAGGAATGTAGTATTCCTTCAGTATTCAATAAAATGTTTCAAATTGAGAAAGAAAATATACATTTAACAACTTTATAAATACAGTATAAAACATTTACACATTGTACCGAATGTAAAACACATACCCTCTGTACAGCACTTAACCCACTGTAAAAGACATAGCCCCTGTAAAACACATACCCTATGTAAAAACACTTACCCACTGTTAAAACAGCCCAGAAACATATGCCATATTTGATAGCAAAATCACTATCTGAGCAGAGCATGCGCATGTCTTTTGTTGGTTGCAGTACGTGGTATGCGATGTTTGACAAAATCATGCATATTCCTGTCAGAGTATACACTGCTGCTCCGTAGAAAACCACACTACATAGCAGGATATTCGCCAAAAACCAAAACGAAAACGAGGTCCTGTGAAAGGAAAAATAGAAAAATTTGAATTAAACGACATACTGCTTCGCATTTTTAAAAGTTTATAATTTCATGTCGATTAATAGAGAAATATAAAGTGCCGACAAGATCATTCAGCACTAGGTCTATCTATAATCTATATGTAGAAGAAAATGACTTAATCTATCTGGTTTATATCATAGTAACCTCAGAGATTGGTAATTTACTTACCACAATAAAATGTGCGCAAAATAACCCGCCATGGTGAAGCCACGCCCCCACCGTAACCCCCCTTGATCAGTCGTCAGGTATTCGATAATAGCAATAACGGGATCGGGCAGACCTCTCACCAAACACTCTTTTAGTTCCGAACCAGGAACGGATACTGTATAACGAAAAAATTATAGACAATCATACTAACTTTCAGATATTTTTTAATGAAAACTACGAAATGGTGATTGTAGTCATCAAGTTCAACACTTCTAAACTTTGTTTAAAATCAAAACGAAGCAAAAGAAACAAACAAACAAACAAACCAGCAGCTCTATCTTATAATTAAACACATTACAGGGCATATCATCACCGCCACGCGTTCGCTCTGACATTTCATTAACAGAAGGATATCATCAGACGGATACGGCAGAGTCGATTTAAAAAACAATAAAGAAAAGACCGACTGAGTCGTTAGGCAAACGGGCATATGGATAAGTAGATATCCAAATTATACACGTGACTACCAGTGAATTTAAATACGACCTAATGATGTTGCCATGTTCAAGTATTTACATGCGGTTTAAGATTTAAAAGTGTTATATTATGATAGTATCTCATACACATATATAAACCCCTATAGATCTGATTTTCTAGAAATGTGAACTTTTCCTATTTAGATTACGTTTTTAAAAAATATAGAATTTAATAGGTTGTACGGCTGAAATAGGTGGTATGATCTACATAAGGAAGAAGTTACCACACAGGGTTGTTTGTCACTTTTTGTTAAGTATTTTTGTTTAATGTTTGTGTATAAACTATGTTGTGCTAATACATGTTCTAAGTAATTAAACTTAATGAAACATGCATGACAAGATGGTAAAGTATGACTCACTGATGTCAGGAACACTGGAATTAAACGTGAACCTGGCGCCACAACAAAACTAGTTAGCAAGTCAATAGGTTGTCACAATATTACACGATGCTATTTTGAGATCGTTTATTCCTTATAGAAGGTGTTATTGTGTGTAAGTTCCGCGATAAATATATCCAAATAATTGTTATGACGGAAGAACGTTAGAATTATAATAATCAAACGTATCATTTTAATATTGATATAGTTTTGTTTACATTTCTGAACGCCAAATCAAGATCTATTCATTTAGAATTCGCACACAACCTCAGACACCTGTATGTTACATGGTGATGTATGATAGTATTGTAAGTAGGTTTCCCAGTTAGCATGCCTCGTGTATCTGTATAATTAGATATTTTACACAGATAATCGTCATCAGACGAGAAACATGTCTCTTCGTGATTACGTCACATCATTTGTGAGCACTATAAGATACAACAGATGTTCTTAATGCATATTTATACATAGACACATATGTATTTATGACAATGAACATCGATTAAATTACAAAAGGCGTCAGGCAGTACTTAACTTCAGCACTCAATGCAGTCATCAATATATTTCGGTACAGACGTTACGATCCCATTACACCAGTGTAGTGTTATTTAAATAGGCAATTAAAGACACAAAAAGAGCTTCGTCACCAAGTGATCGTTTCAGCATGTCGTTTCCTCCTGCTATGGTAGGGACACTAATTCATTAACAAAGTCATTATATAATATTATGTGTAGTAATATAATGTAACAGACCTAATTACGTGGTTACTAAATGTTGTCGGTTTATCGGTTGAATATTAAACTGCGTTCAGAATTTTGGATTTAGTATTTCGCAGTGAACAAATGGCAAGTAGGGTACGTACCTCCGTCAAAGGCTATCTCTTCATTGTAGGACACTTCACCATCACCTGATTCGAACCGTCCTGTAAGAGACATGGATATCATAACAGTAATACACCAGGACTAATGAAGCACCATGTAGTTATTTAATACTGGAATGTATGGTTAATGTAACAATGACCTATTACTATACGATCGGTCAAATTAGATACTTTGTAACAGATATAGATTAACAGGTGTAGTAAACCCACCAATTAATAGATTTCTTACTACTTCATGTTTTCAGAAGATTGTTACTTATAAGTGTATATCAAAATATTCATGTAATGTATACAGCAGATTTACAATAGTTAAAAGGCACCAGATACTTTAATACAGAACTGTCCGACACGTACAGGTTAGGCCATTGTCTTGTCAAACCCATCACAGGGACACGTCAAGGTCTATAATGTATTCGTCTTATCGTTTCATATCGATGTATGCACTTTATTATTATTACCATGTAACTGTCACTCATAAACATACATAAATCAAAGACTAATTATTTACCTGTCAACGTAATATTGATCTTCCGAAGTCCGATCATCACCCCAACCTCTCCCTGGATCTTGGCCCCAGATCTGTATATGTACGGAGCCTTGACCTTGCTCCGGCCCTCCATCCAACAATACCCAAATATTGATACTGCAAAACAAAGGTTAAAAATTAAATGTCAGCCGAAAATGAAAGCATTGTGTTTACATAAGTAAGTGGATTATGACTATGATAGACTAAAGCAATCTACTGGAACACTCGTTGCTTTTGTATATGTGGCATTATAATCACCACTTATGGTAGCACTTTTTGTAAATCACAACATACTATATATCTTAAACGTTTTTGTATTATCGGATAGGTGAATACCTTGCATCTAATTCATTCATTATTTAATTTATGTGTTTGTTTTGTTTACAATAGATAAAGAAAGGAGATGACTTTCTTAAGTTTTTTTTTCTGTTGCCCAAATCCATTTGCCTATAATATATGGACACTTAAGTATTCTTAAATGGGAATTAAAATATTTTGTTGTTTCTTCTGTCAGCAATAGTCATGTTATTTCTCTTTGAATAAGTAAAAATAAATTATATAAAAGATAAGCAAACTTTACACGAACACTTCTGAAAAAGTACAAGGAGAATAATGTGTTCAGAAACGCTACGTGTCGTTTTGGTTGAACACGCATTAATTAAAAATGAAATGAAGTTTCAGATTCCTCCAGTTTTGATGCAGAATTGTAGGTATGGTTTTTTTTTTGCGTAGATAGAAAAATGTGTATCAAAATGAACAGCCAAGGATCAGTTTTATATTCACTCACCCAAATGAAACATAAAAAATTGTGTTGATATCACATCAATGAGATTGAACAAAAATCAGTAAACTTGAATTTTTTTATTCAAACTTATCTCAACGGATAACTTCCAATATTGATAGAAAGAAATGATTATCAATCGATATTCCATAAACAATAACAAAAAGAAGGAAACTAAAAATTAGAATGTGCACGGCAATATTGCCTCATAAAGATATGTTGTGACGTCATTTACAAAATCACACTGGACCTGTAATGATATATGCGTTCTGTGTCACTGCCCGGCACAACCAGTGCAACGTCAACATCCTCTGATTAAACTAAATTGTACGACAGGAAGTGTTAGACGTTTTTACATGTTTAATTTTGTCATGCTGAACTCCTCCACAATGTCGAACAAATGCATCGTGATCCTAGAACAGTTTAAGGTCTACACTGGTCAGTGTACGACCTCGTTTGACCTACATTTTGTTATGTCAGAATTGTCACCAGTACAGTGATCTTTCTGAAGTGACAGGCTCATGACTCAATCGTTCAGTGTTAGGAACATGAAATATATACATTAACGAAAAAGGGTAAATAGCGATTTGTAGACATTAATTTGGTTAAAACCATACTGAAGTATGTTTTAAATTGCCAATACTAAATGGAAAGTTAAATATCAGAGACAATTGTTAATACACACACTAATTAAAAACTAGGTAGTAGTACACAGCTTTAAGATAATAGAGTTATGTGATCTTGAGAGAGACTACTAAATATGGACCACTTAATTTCAAATCATGATACATCAAACTATGAAATACGATATTCGTATGTTCAACCGATCGTTTCAGGACACCGACCTTGTGGAAGTTTTAAATATAGACAGTTTAAAGAAGATATTGTAAATGTAGCAACTTCATAAAGCTACAGGAGGCTGTAAATTAATATCCAACTTTCTGTGAGATAAATAATAATCATTGTTGGTGAATTTCTTGTTGATATGGATGTAAAATGTCATGAATTTTTTAATAAAAAAAAAAAAGAACTTTCGAGTACCATATACTTTTTAATATGCAATTTACCTACGAGACATTGTCTCTGACTTTAAGTTCGATCACAACAACAAATCCGCCATTTTACTGGTAATGATTCCTTTATGTTTCTGGGCGCTATAGCAAAGTCACTGGACGCTATAGAAGGTGTTTTATTGTATGTCACTGGACGCTATAAAAGGTGTTTTACTGTATGTCACTGGACGCTGTAGAAGGTGTTTTACTGTATGTCACTGGACGCTATAGAAGGCGTTTTACTGTATGTCACTGGACGCTATAGAAGGCGTTTTACTGTATGTCGTTGGACGCTATAAAAGGTGTTTTACTGTATGTCACTGGACGCTATAGAAGGTGTTTTACTGTATGTCACTGGACGCTATAGAAGGTGTTTTACTGTATGTCACTGGACGCTATAGCAGCTGTTTTACTGTATGTCACTGGACGATATATAAGGTGTTTTACTGTATGTCATTGGACGCTGTAGTAGGTGTTTTACAGTGTGACATTAGACGCTGTAGTAGGTGTTTTACTGTATGTCATTGGACGCTATAGTAGGTGTTTTACAGTATGACATTAGACGCTGTAGTAGGTGTTTTACGGTATGTCATTGTACGCTATAGTAGGTGTTTTACGGTATGTCATTGTACGCTATAGTAGGTGTTTTACGGTATGTCATTGTACGCTATAGTAGGTGTTTTACGGTATGACATTAGACGATGTTGTAGGTGTTTTACGGTATGACATTATACGCTATAGCAGGTGTTTTACGGTATGACCTTGGGCGCCATAATAGCTGTACATAGATACGATGATTACCTCAAACAGCTGTCAAATCAATTACCCTGCATCATCACCCTCAAACAATTGTCTATCACTGGTTTGTATATACAAATACAGAAGATATCATGAAAAGCTGCGATTGAATTTGGACATTAATTTTATAAATTATAGCTAATATACAACTTTTATACATAAGAATGATAAACCTGCTCTAAGATTTCTGTTGACGTAAAGAAGGTATAGCTTTGTTACTGTCAAACAAGCTGAAAGATAGCATTACTACTGTATGTATATAGACAAACATTTTCCCAAGGTTTTATTTTCGTCCTTGCATTAAACACTTTATCTTAACACAGAGATAAATTCGCCCTCTAATACCGGTAATAACGGTTAAAATATTTTCCAGCCTTAACATCAGTCATTATTAGCAATCATTTTATTTTTGACCGTAACTAGTTTACCTGGATATCTAATAGGCAGTATAAAGTCATAGTTTACCTGGATATCTAATTGGCAGTATAAAGTTATAGTTTACCTGGATATCTAATAGGAAGTATAAAGTTATAGTTTACCTGGATATCTAATAGGAAGTATAAAGTCATAGTTTACCTGGATATCTAATAGGAAGTATAAAGTCATAGTTTACCTGGGTATCTAATAGGAAGTATAAAGTCATAGTTTACCTGGGTATCTAATAGGAAGTTGTCATAGTATAAGTATAAAGTTATAGTTTACCTGAATATCTAATTGGCAGTATTAAGTTATAGTTTACCTGGATATATAATAGACAGTATAAAGTTATAGTTTACCTGGATATCTAATTGGCAGTATAAAGTTATAGTTTACCTGGATATCTAATAGGCAGTATAAAGTTATAGTTTAAATAAATACATAAAAGGTAATAAAAAGTCATAATTAACCGGGATGTTTCTAATAGAAAGTATCAAATCATATTTAGTGTGAATATTTCTATATCCCATAGACAAACTGAAACAATTTTTGATTTTATCATTTTTTTTCTGAAGACGAGGTCAGCGATTGAATTGTAAGGAGACAGCATGACGCCATCTTTAACATGACGAAACCGTGTACAGTAAGAACCTAATGACGATGTTTCGGTAAACATGTATATTTATTTCATTTTTATTTCAAGCACATGTCGAGTAGAGCTTAAAACAACAAGGTCTCATTGTATGTTGCTGACTGTAACGGAGAGAAGTTTATATTGCGGAAGATAACATGCCTGACGGTCAAATACACATCTTTATGTGATGAGATCCTTCCGGAATTTTTTCTTTAAGCGATTCATGGTCAGAAGCCAATGTGTTAAATGCTGTTTACTACAGGTAAATCAAGGCGATGACAAAATGAAAGAAATCATTTTTCATTCAATTAACACATAGAATAAAGGAAAAATTAATTATGAGTTACTTACGTATAATGGTGGAACCTACAGCAAGACTATACAGCACTCTCAGAAGTGTATACCAGCGCTGTTCAAAAACAAACAAAATATAGTACATCAGAGATGTCGAAAGAAGAAAAAACGTGGCAACACAACACGTAAGTAAGCTCTGTAGAAAAAGAGCAAAACATTACCTCATAGCACTCTTAGAGGAACAAAATATTTGGTTACAGTCAAACTTCGGATTTGTTTCTATGTCAGTGGATCACAGGATGAATATATACAAACATCTTGATGATGTAGTAATAAAGAATTTATAAAACAAAGTTCTATGTAATTAATAACTAAATAAGATAATTAAATAATTCCAATAATTGAATGTAGCACTATGAGAACTCCATTCACAATCGACATGGAAACATTGGGAAATTCTTTACACGGTTTTCTCTTACTTCTTTCCCACGAATTCCAGCGGCAGCAATCAGGGTTGCCAAAGATATGAGTGCGCATGCGTATATAACTGCTGCAAGGGACACATCCATGGTAACGGCTGTCCTTTTCTCTCCATAGTTGGTGAATCCATACTCTCCACGAAAAGCTTGAAACCAGGACATCCTATTGAGAGAGCAATATCATCTGTATTACTTGGTAAGCCATAAAGATTATTTCTGATCACTAAGGTATGTCTTTTGCGCTAAAGATAATATATGTAACCCAATTTAAAATCAAGTAGACAGGTCACCTATACAATTTACATATTTACAATACACTGTGAAAATAGCAAAAGACATTTTATAATGGAATAAAAGATGTAACGACATCAAAAATGACTTTTTCTCACACGCTATATAACTAATCGTTTTGTATAAGTTTCTACCTTACTGAAATATATTTTTACTCTAATTAACTAAATCGATGTTGATTTAATTATGAGTAATTCCATGTCCATTCACCTTTCTGCAGAAGTATTCAATACTTTAAAATAGCGTGTTTCAAGCGTAGTTATACAACTGATGATTCCACGTTTAGTTTTGTTTTAATTCAATATGTTACAAACACCAAACTATAGTATATATAGTATTGGAGTCTCCGCCGATATCTAAATATAGTATAGGATTCTCAACCAATGTCTAACCCGTGTTCCGGGAACGATCGAATTACGTGTTGAAAGGTGCGTTCGACGACCCTATGTTTACCTGTAGGTGTGTTCAGTGTTAAACTATGTTTCTAAGTTAGTTACAAATCACTCAATTGATAAATACGTCTAAACAAGAGGATGTCAGGCGCTATGACAGACACTGTTTTGGTTTAAAGTTATCTTGATTGTTATTTTCATTTCCGGTGGATTACCTGAGCGTATATGATTGATTTATCTATCTCTACCTATCAAAATGTACCTCTTACATTAGCAATGTATCAGTGAGAAAATAAGGTGGTGATACAGTGTTATCGACCGGACCTGAGCTATAATATTTCGTGTATTTCACTTCAAATTGAAGCACACTGCACTACCGTTTCGATATTTGCTTTACTAAATAAACAATGTTAAATTACCTGTAAGTGTTTAATCTTGTAGTTAAAAAAGATGTATCTTTGTTTCTAATTATATAAGAACATATTACTAAAGTAACCATGACAGAATGTAAGACTATGTAGTATTTTAATTAAAATAGCTCTTAAGTACATCTATTACTTTTTGAGATGTGACGTTATAAATACCGGTCCAGATAGGTTTGTTTTAACTGTGTATAGATATTACTTAAATTGATGTTTTAATGTTTACATAAATAAAGCCCATTCCTCAGTTTTCATCCTCTCTTTAAAACAATTCTAAGAGATAGCAGCACTATTCGGCACACATACAATGTGATAATGTGATATTAAGTTGTTAATAATATGTTTTAACCTCCATTGCCTCAATGGAGCGTGAATATTATCGAATTATAATCATACTTTTATCCCCAAATCGATAGTGTAGTCACAGTAGTGTAGTAATCACAGTATTGATAAAAGCTTATGCCTTAAGAAGTATATCCTTTTGCTTATTATTTATTGATTGTTTGAGATATGAATGGCTTCACCGTCCAAGCAATGTAGGCCACCACGCCTAAACCTACACCAAGCAGGATACGTGCGGTCAGTCCTTGGGAAAACCTTTATTATTACCTATGTCACGAGACTAACCAAGACTAATCCGTATTTGAGTGCCACCACAAGTCTGACCAATAAGATTCGGCGTCTTACACTTGAGAATACCAATGGCAATATACCAGGGTAAAGAAAACAGCAAACTGGAATAATGGAATGTCAATATCTTAAAACACCTACCAGTAAAAGGTGGCGTTTAAAATAATATTACGACGTCCAGATTGGTATGTGATGATCAGGATATCCTGGAACACACGGTAGTGAAAATCACGACCAATGCATTACTTATATACTAGTGATGATAGAAATATCTGGGGTTCGTATCATATCATGTCTCTTGTCATTACAAAAGCTAAGAAAACCCTGTAAAGTTTCTTTTTCATCTGTATAAAATGTCTTAGCGCAATAATCCGGATTGAATTAGCATAATGGTATTTCGCGTTTTTGTATTGATGGTAATTACTTTTACGATGCGTTGTAGTACTAATTTACAGTTTAATATTGTCTATATACAGATCCTTCGTCGGAACAATTTTACGATAAGAAAAACTGAAACTAAGAAACACTTGAAACATGATAATTTGATTGTAAAAATAAGCAGACGTGTGCAGTTTGATTAGAGACATGAAACAATTTCCAAACTGATAATTACATTTTGCTCATACTGAATGCATACCATATATGTACGGTTGTTATGTTTTAAAGCTGCTGTTCTAAATCGACATAGTTGGTAATAGCACGGGAATTTGCATATTACAGTTTGAAGTGTTACATATGAAGCAATGAAAGTTATTTTAATCACCTACTTAACCTTACCGACGATCGTAGACAATACAACGATAGTATTACGATAGTTGAAACGCCAAATTAAATATATAATTTTGATTATGAAACAACCTTTATGAAGGAATGGGCTCTTTCTAGCAGGTTTTATTACTGGTGGTGAGGAGTTGTCAAGCTTGGCCGGGGTTATGGCTGTGTGATGGATCACCTTTAGTACCTCGGAGGATTGCAAACATTCATACCTCATAGTCTAAGTACAATGTCCTTTACACTGTCAAAACATGTCTTCTCATCGTCATTTCTATCTATAAGGTGTTATAGATTATGAAAGTTCAGCTTAGTGTGTGTACCTCCCAATTGAAATTGATTAATTTATTTCCTTGTTAGAATTATTCGTTATAATGATATCATATACAATTACAAGGACACTTATGCTTCAAGAGTTGAAGAGCACTTACATATCAAAGTGATTCATCGGCTAGACTGGGTTAATATTTGTGATAAGGGTATACAACTAGGGCGATGTCTATGATAAATGGCGGGTTATCATAGCGAGTGAAGAATGTGTTACACAGTTAAATAGCTTGTGGATGCAACATGTATGTTTGTACCATACACCAATTACTAAATTTTCTTTCTAACAATATATCAACGCCTGTTTAAGACTTGAAAAGTAATAAGATAATGTGTCAACTTTCCCGCGAAGTTGAAGGTTTCTTCTGTTTACATTTTACAAGTTGTCTGACCTTTAAAAACAGTTTAAACTTTATAATATCAATATAAACCATAATGTAATTAGACAAAAACAATAGTGTTTTAACCACAATTTGATATCTTTTGATATCTAACAAAACAGAACATCAACTACAAAGCTAGGAAACTTCTGTCATCCCACACAATTACATGAGTATCATTTAAACAATTATACATTTTATGATATTCATAATTTAAAGGTACACAAGAGTATAATTTGTTACTATAATAGATAGCATTAGATACAAGTTTAATGACATCAATGCTTTCTTCTGATGTTATACATCTTCGCTTACTTCGCTCGGTAAATTATAAAAATTGTTCATACCTGAAAAAATATAATTCTCTTTGAATGCGCCACCGAAGTATGTCTGCTAGAGAGAGTGCAATGGTTCACCTCTATAATGCTTAGCTGTGAAACTTTGCACGTGTCACTGGTATATATTTATTGTATTAATGGAATCCCAAATGTTAGATATGTCTGGTAAATCACTGTAAACGAATAAGATTGATAAAAAAGTTTTAATTTCTGAATTTAATTATAACACTGATAATAGTAATGGTTAGTGTAATGGACTTATTCCATTTATATTATCTGAGAGAGTTGATTCCAGAGGTTATTTAAAATTCTAAAATATGAGTCAACTTACTGAATATACAGTCGTCTCGTGCAGAAAAGATGCACGTTTAAGAAAAAAAAAAAAAAAAAAACCCGAGTCATTTATGGTCACTTAACATAAGGAAGTAAAGTGGGATTTACAAACAAACAGACGTAAATATATCACAGGTGTATGTCTTAATTACTTACGTATACATACATATAAAACAATCAGGATTAAGTGGCTCATAATCATGGAATTTTCACAAATTAAGTGAAACGAGACGAATATCTAGTAAAACACCTAAACGTAGACATTAAAAGAATTTAGATAAAAGTGATTGTACGAAAATATACTTAGTTTGTTAAAAATGTTTAATAATTCGTATTTCTATAAGACATGTCTTCTTTAAACAGGTACAGCTTACTTTTTTCTTTCTTGTACGATGTACTCTTAAGTGACCCATGCAATTCGTTCTCATTCATGATTTAACGAGTAAAATTAAAGGATTTTTATGGTTTTGTCAGGTCTGTTATATCATCAGTGAGAGATCATCTCGTGGCCCACAATAAAACGGTTGTACCAAAGTTGTACTAGTAAATGGCGTTTTTTCATACAAATATAGTATTACGTAAGTCTATCATACGTTATTGAATAGCAACATACAGCTGATTCTTCCACCTGTAGGACTCGGGTGAAACAGACAGTAATGGTGTCAATCAAATTGCTAATCAAGATGAATTTTGGATACGATATAGCTAACTAATTTGGACGCGTTTCCTGATAACGTTAACGGCAACCATATCACTTTTGAAGACTTCGATTGATATCATAACTCAAGCTTGTTTAATGTGAATAATGTAGTTAACATGTCCAATATACTTTTGAACTTCCTACCAAATCTGAATTCCCGGTTTCACTCAGGAGGGATACAGAAAAGAAAAGACGTCTGGTCAGACGGACTAGAACTGCTTTAGAAGGTAAAAACAGAAATACTTATTTTACTGAAGCCTTCGACCTTCGACAATATATGAATTATAATTTCCAAAATACGTCCATGAACGCATAAATTTCAATTAGAAAATCTCCTTACCTTTAAGTTAATGTCCTCGTATCCCGATGTCGTTTAGAAGTATTATGAAAAACGCTGAAGGTTGTATTGTTAAGAAATTGATTACTGGAATCTGTGTAGTAGTGTATATGTCCCCATTTACAGACAAGAGAACGTCTCCAAGTGTTAAACCTCCCTCGCCTACATTCGTAATAGGCATCGTTACATGCATACAACGACAGAGCTCCTCTGGGGAACATTTCCCGCATCCCCCCACAAC